AGATGATGTGAATATGTTGAACTTGTTTTCTTATTTACATAGCTCATATGATGTACCTGGATTCGATTCCTAAATGTTCTCCCAGTTTGACAAATATATACCTTACGACACGTTCCACACTTTGATTTATATACCCCTGATTTCTCGAATTTTTATATTCTATCTTTATTATTTTTACCTAACTTTCCCAATGTATATGCAATTTTAATATCTCGTTTCCTCAAAAATGAAGCTACATTTTCCGTTGTTTGTCCAAAATACGTTAAAGCTCTATAATTTTGATTATCTAATTTATCAATAGAAAAAACGTCTGGAATCTCACTTGCGTAGACTTTTTTGGAAAGTATTTTGTTTATTAATCCGTCTTTAAACCCATGGTTCACTGCAATTTGCTTGGTGATATTAAGCTCTTTAATGAAATTATCTATTGAAAGAGGAACATTGACTGATTTGTGAATCATGTTTTTACAAGCTGTTACTTTGTGTTGATATGGATGAGTAGAATTTTAATGTATAGTGATATCCGTATAGGATGGTTTGTGATAATATGAAAAATATTTGTTGTACATTCTACTAATTGTTGAGTCCAAGAAATTGATTGAGTTGTCTGCTTCTACTTCAATAGTGAATTCACTAATATATATGAATATTAATGTAAGAAGCAACTTGTAGTATTAAAATCATTGTTGATAAAGCTAGTTTCTTGGCCTTGTGGTACTTCAATTCAATTCTTCGATGTGCCATAACATCTCGCAGCGCAAAATGGAATAAAAACGGGAAAAATGAAATGGATGAAAAAATAGCGAAAACTGGAATATAGCAAGTGGGACAACGCCAACATATACCTTTAGGTAATACACACGGAATTACTTCATGGGTGTCATGATATAAAATTTGATATTTTAGATTTCAATGTAAGAAAACAAGTCAATCAAATCATTCATAAAAAGTACTGGAATCCAGGAACATCATTCGAGCTATGTAAATAAGAAAATAAGTTCAACATATTCAAATCAATACCTTGATGGATGTAGCCGTTACTACGTGGTAGGAAATCATAATGAAAAAAAGAGAATTGAAACTTTCTATGTTTTTTAAAAACATATTCAAATCATCTTTTAGAAGATAATCATATCTTCAACGAAGAATTTGGAATTTTACACATAGAAAATGAAGGTTTGAAACTGAATCATTTGAAAGCATATTTGTTCAAATCAATGTTGATAGAGCTACGAAACATGTCGTGATATATTTTTTTCAAATAAAGTTGGTGGAGATCAAACCGTGAGATGTGTTTTATGAAATTACTATTTATCTTCATCAAGTAACGGCCAAATCAATCTGAAAATCAAAGTCTAGACTGTCTAGAGTATTGAAACATCTTAGTACTGACCATCATTTCCAAGATCCTATTAGTAGCAGAGGTATTTTCTACTTATCGAGTCACTTGAAATTCGATGGAAATGAATAAATATTGGTTTTTCTCTCTGGAGAATCTTATATAATAAATGTTTAAAAAAATTTCATCTAAAAGGAAACCAGAATGAAAGAACACCAAAGACTCCATATGAAGGCAGCGGTCCTCAAAAAAATTCATGCATATTCTCTATGTTCATGACTATTTTCTATTTTGGCAGAGCATAAAAATGACGAAAAATCGCATGAACTGACAAATGTATATGATGGAAGTGGTCAATACTTGGTAAAAATCCAAACGTATTCGAGTAATTCTGTATCGTGAGATTTTCACTGAACAGTTTACAAAACCGCAATATGTGTTTTTACACAAAACCTTTCTCAGGTGTTTCCATACTATTTGAAGTTTTATATATCACTAGTGGAGCCGCCCCGGCTCCTCACGGGTGCAATGCTGACATTAAATATGAATTCACCCACCGGAAATGAAGAAACAGTGATAAAAAAGTAACTTCATTTCATGAACGCGTTTTTGCCCCCGCGGCTGGCGCACCAGTCGAAATATTTGAAAATCTTTCCTTACTGCACATCTTCAACATAAAACTAAATAACGTAAAAAATTTCAGCCTTCGAAAGTATTGCGATACGGAGAAACAGTGACGAAAATGAAATTAAATGATAATTTGAATATCTGAGGTCTGAAGTAAAAATCAATTCATGGCGTGTATTCTACAAAATCACAAGGTAAAAGCACTTTTGAAATGAATATATTTTGAAAAACTAAAAAACACGATTTTAAAAAACATCGAACTAAAAAGTTAAAAAAAAATTCTTAATAAGCTTAAAACAATAACGAAGAAAAAAGTGACGGGCGCTCGATATACAAAAAATATGGCACAAAGTGCCCACACTTTTTTCACAATAATACTAGTATTTTTCGTTCGTTATTGTTTTAAGCTTATTTGAAAATATTTTTAACTTTTTAGTTCGATGTTCTTCAAAAGCGTGTTTTTTAGTTTTTCAACAATATTTATTTTCCATTTTTCAGTTTTGTGTGCAATAAAAGCGTATTTTTCAGTCTTCTTAAACTATATCTATTTTATCTAAACTTCGGGATCAATTAGCCGTATATTGTTTAGAAAAATGACCATTGATATTTTCCGATTCCAGAGAGGGAACCTGAAAATCAGCTACCAAGCCTAAGGCAGCAAGCGCAAAGGAGGGTTACAAATAAGGCAGCAGACGCGCGTGTTAATGAAAAAAAATTTTCAAATGAAGAAATACATGTGAAGTGAGTTTGGATTATATTACGTACAGCGCTATCTGCCCGCGAAAAGATCATAGATCGAGCAATACTGTCGATATATCAAGGAGGTTATGTACAGCGCCATCTTCCCGCAAATATATCAAGCAATAATGTCGATAATTCTGTCAAATACTGATCCCGAGCTTGAGAGTTACAAACAAACAAACATACATACATACAGGTGAAGCTAATAAAAGCGTGTTTAAAAAATACTCTTTTCAAATGAGAAAAATACATATGAAGTGAGTTCAAATTATATCAAGGATGTTACGTATAGCGCCATCTGCCCGCGAATAGATGAAGCAATAATGTCGATACTTCTGTCAAATTCAAATCCCGATATAAAATGAAAATGAGAGTTACAAACAAACATACATACATACAGGTGAAGCTAATATAAAGCGTGTAATGTGATGTAATGTAATAAAATTGAGAAATGATCCACTGTGACACGGAAACGGGTTACTTTGGATCAATGCGATGACAGTGAGTCGACTGGGGCACACAGGACCAATTGCAAAAAAATATTAAAAAACTTCAGTTTTCATATTATAATATTTTTATTCGTACTACAAGACAGTTTTTAATGTCAAAATAATATTATGCAAAAGTAGCAATCACTTTTCAATGAACATAAAAATATTTTTCCTAGACCTAAAATTACCAAATATAAATTCGTTTTTTACCAGTAATATGTGATTAAATTCAAAACGAAACATGAAATTAAAATAAATCCGCTTCAGAAAAAATAATTGCAAACAAAACATATAAGTGCTTTTTTATTTTTGTATTACTAGTCCTATAAAAAAATATCAATCACATTTTGATGAAAATAAAAATAGTATTTCTCAGATCTAACAATCAACAAACATGAAATCGTTTTTTCAACTGTACCTATTAACTCAAGAACACACATACAATTGCCATTAATCAATTTTAGAAAAATCTAGGTCAAAGTTATACATACAGCACGAGCGAGCATGAGCGAGCATTCGTGTAAGTTCACTCTTGTTCGCTCGTGTTCGCTTTTTTGGTGAATACGCACCTTTACCAGAACACTTCGTTTTTGGTAACATCATCTTAATGTAAGGCAAGCGCAATATCTGGCACGATTGGCACGTGAAAATTATTCGGTATTTTGTTAGATTTTCTAAGAAAACTCACTCTCATTTTTCAGTTCTCCTATAAATTTGGCTGTATAATAAATTCTTTTCCCTTCAACGTGGAATGTAACAATAATAAAATCATTTGTTTGAAGGTAATTGACAATGTTTCATGATGAATTTCACCAGTTCGGACTTCCATTGTCTAATATATTTTTAGTTGTTTCAGGAATTTCAAATCATTTTATATATGTTGGACAATGGAAGTCCGAACTAGTGAAATTCAATAATAAAATCACATTTTTTAGGCAAACTTTGAAATGTACGCAAGCAGTCAGGATCCACCACTGCATAATCATCTTCCAATATTGGTTCTTCTTCAGAATATATACTTCATTTTCATTGGAACTGTCTTATAAAACTTTTTTTCCATTTGTTTCTGCAATTGCCTTCCTCTGTTTTCGTTTCTTACCTTCTCTCTTCTCTTGGTGTGCAATCATTGATTTTCCTTTTCCTCTTGGAGCTCTTCTACATTAAGACGTACCTGCTATAGGTAGCCCTCAAAATTGTAATGGACTTGAAAATGCTTTTTTCACATTTGAGGAAGAGCCAGCAGATGCAGTTGCAGTCGGATCCAAAATTGTAGGAGATTTGATTGAGCGAAAAGCACTAACCCTGGTTTCAGGTGATTTATTGTGCACCTGGTCTTTCGAGATTGCCGATACAGCGTTGTGTAATGTAACATCAGCTTGACTTAATTTTTGTGAAGTTCTAGGGGGTTGTAGTTCACATGCCGATGAGATTGTTGTTCCATCGCTGCGAGTGTCTGGAGGAGCAGTTTCTATAAGTTGAACAAGTTGAGGAAAACCAAGACAGGACAGCTCTCATATTGATGGTGATGGGTTTCTTGATTCAGTGTCTTGAATAGTGAGCAAAATCTAGATGAGTAAAAACATTTCTGTCGAATAGGAATATTCCAGTAGATTTGAAAGCTGCGCAAATATTCCCGGGTGTCATAGCTTTCATATGCGCTTTCCTGACACATTCAGCCACTTCATATATTGAGAAAGTTTTGCCTGGGTTTCGCAACATCCAACTATCTACAGCTCTGTTATACGCAGTTTTGAATGGCCCAAAAATTCCGACATCCAATGGCTCTAGTTTTCCTGTTGAATGCGGCGGCGTTGTTGAAACTGTTACACCATTTTCTTTTGGTAAATTCAAGGCCTCTTCGCAAATGTGCGACTCCTGGTTATCGTATATGAGCAGACTAAGGTTGTCATCGCTGCTGTTTGAATAACTGATGAAATTCTGCACAGTTTTCACAAACAATTCAGAGTTCATCCAACCGAATGGAGTAGCAAGACCTAAAGTCCCAGTTGCAGCCACCGCAACCATATGCTGCTTGGAATGAACTCTAAAAAATATAATTACTGGCGGCAATGAATTGTCCAAAGCGTTTACAATATAACAAGTTGTTGTTAACGTTCCGCGTTTGGCGCTGGTGACTTCAAAAACTTGTCTTTGCCATTTGGCTGCTAAAACTTTGAAATATTTTTGCACCTTCATAGTATTTGTTTCATCTATATTGAATATTGTGGTGCCATTCCCAAAGGAAACATGTCTAGGTATTACATTTTCTAATTTATCGAAGAACAAACCAACATTATGACGATTGAAACACATTGCTCTGCTCAAACTGCAACCCTCTGGAATCCGCGACGATAATCGATTATCTCTTTTTTTGAGATTATACAGATACTCGATACCTGTGAGCTTAGTCTCATGCCATTTTTTCTGGACTCACCACTACGAAGTGGTGTGAGTGTGTGAGTGTGGTGTGAGTGGTAAGTGAGTGTCTTTCCCATTTATAAGTATAAATTTGATCTGCTACCTACTTGATAATTCAACTTGTTAACAATTTACACGTGATAAAAGAAATTTTTAACCTTATTGAAAACTAAAGACAAAATGATGGAGAGTGAAATGTCGGGAATACCTGTATGAAATGAGCTGTGAAGGCTATGGCAAAAAACTCGTTCCAAAGAAAACGCATCATATATTCGATTCCTACTACCAATTCCCTCAATACGCCTTGAAGAACGGCCATAGAATGAATGAAAACTGCCTGAAAATGTTGAGAACGGTATATGCCCTTACAATTTTGGATGCTTTTGAAAGTCTGGAAATAACAAAGTGTGAACAGTGAACAGTGACAAAGGTCTGATTTTAGACAGTCTACTATACATATTTCGTATTCAAAAAACATACTTTAATGTGAGATTTCCACTTGAAAAAAGTTTTTATTTTCCACGTATTTCATCATACAATATCATCTTTGTCACAATACGTATTCATTCGTATTCCAATTGTACCTATTTCTTTCTATGAATCACTCTGTTGTAATTTGGAGATATTCACGAGAACATTTTCCGCAAGTGTGTCATATTGGATATACATTGAGAGTTGTCTTCAACTCCTAAAGACGCCAATTGTTGGTGAAACTCACGTCGAAAAGAGTATTGCATTTCTGTTGATTCGGAAATGTATCTGTTGTGGATTTATTTCATCACAACAGTTTAAGTTTTACGTTTCATCAGTGATACTGCTTATTGTTCAGTTAGTGTAATGATACAATGATTCAACGAAAGTAATTTTTGTGGAGGAATATCAGTTTTTTATCAATTTTCTTTGGTATTGTCACCTTCATAAATCTGAAAAATATGGTGGAGATACGTTGACGATATCTTTGCTCTTTGGAATACAAACCATGATGAATTGAATACTTTCTTGAGTTATATCAATGAGCGGGAGCTGAAAATAAAGTTCACAATAGAGACTGAACAAGATAGTCAACTCCCTTTCCTTGACGTGACATTGAAGAGATCATCAGATCAATTTGATACAAATATTTATCGGAAAAAAAAACACATACAAATAGATATCTTCACTACACATCGAATCATCATGCAACAGATCAAACACGATATGTATAATTCAACTGAAAATTGCAATGAAGAAATATCATTAATTAAATCTGTTCTGAAAGATAATACTAATCTAGATTCGGTCATGAATTCAACGATAAAAGCATTAGAAAATAAAGAGTCGATAAATAACTAAACGACCCTACAAACAGCTTCGCAAATTCAACAACATCCAACTCAACAATTATAATTCCTGTATGCATAATATTAAGGTGCGTATACCTAGTAAATATGTAGAAATAAAATCGATAGTAATAGTGATCGTATGAATTATCACCAGGTTTATGAGACATATATTTTTTTTATACAATTTAAGTTTACAGAAAATATATCGAATATCTGATTTGTGAAATTATAACCATGTAGTAACAACTTGTGGATGCAAATATTTCACAGCTTTTCAATTAGGACTTCATAGAGAAGAGTTGATCAATGTCTCCTCTGGTTCTTATTATGGTAACTTTGTTTTGAACATTAACATAAATTACAACAGCATTTGTCCATACATTTTGCAGATGTTTTTTCAACTGTACCAACCAGTAAATCGACTGTATTGCTTGTTAGATCTTCTCGAATTACTATTCTAGTACCTTTCAGTAATTTTTTCTTTCTATATATCTCCTGCTTCATTTCAAAATCTTTTAATTTCAAAAATATTCCTCTTCGTTTGCCTTCATCTTATTTTTTCCCCACCCTATAGCACATAACTATATCGTTTGTGGAAATGTTGATTGTCATTTTGGTTTCCAATAGTTTGATGATTTATTCTCTTGTATTTTCTCTGTTACTTTCTTCAAAATTGAAAATTCTCGAATTCTTCCTTCGTTTTCCTTGATCTATGTTATCAACTTTTTTCTTCAGCAATTCATTTTGTTGTATAAGATTCGCAATATCATTTTCACTTTTGATTCTCATGTTTTCCATTTCTTTATTCATACTATTCAGATCATCCTGTAGGTGGGCAATTTTTTGTTCAATTTGGCTGAACTTCTTTTCGATGCTTTTCATCACTGTGCTTGCTACATTGTCTACCATCGTTTTTATGAAATTCGGGTCCTTTAGACATCGGATCAACGAAGAATTCACTGCCGTCTCAATTTTTTCTCGGACTTCTCTCGTGATAACCATTGTTGTTGTGTTTATGACTATTTTCCCACAAAGATAAAACCAACAGTTTTGCTATACAAGAGAGTTTTTGTCAATATTTCCACTGTTTTATTTGAGACTTTACTAGGAGCACACCTGTACACGTCTATTCAGTACGCACCAGTACGCACCACGTATAACTAAAGTTATACCTTGCATTCCAGGACTATCTGAAAAAATAAGACGAATTGGAAATAGGTATGATGTTAGAACTACTTTCAAAACAAAAAAATACACTGAGATCTATACTAACACATAAAACCCAACAACACTGAATAAAAAACAAAAAATTGCATTTACGAGATACATTGGTGAAAGTTATATTGATGAAACTTCGAGACCATTGAAAGAGCGTGAGAATGAACATCGAGATTACATAAAAATCGACAATTGACAGGATCTAAATTGTCAGAACACATTTTAAAATCAGACGGTAAACATCGAGTTGAATGGAACAAGACAAGAATGATTATCAATGAACCTCACTCTAAGAGACGCAAACTAAAAGAATCAGCGTATATTTTCATATGTGGAGAGAATTGTATTTTGAACAGTTCCTCAGAAATAGACCGTACTTGGCTACCCATCTTGAAAAAATATTTGGATAGTGGCGAAATGGCAACAGACTGATATCGGAGAGCACCTTGTATATCGATAAAAACAAGTTTTCATTTCACTCATAGAGGCTACGTTTTTCACTCATTTATAATCCGAAATATTTCTTTAACCTAAATTCAGTTATATCATATTTTCTCTTGTTCAATATTTCGGAACAGCTATTATTATTTCACGTGAGTATACATTCCAAACTCAAAATAATCCACTGTTTTCTTTGGTAGTCTTTATCACATCGTGTAAATACAATCTTCCTAGACCTTTGTTTCTGTACAGCTGATCAAAACACACGTAACCTTTGATAAACTTTGCATTCAACAAAATTTCAACCAATTATGAGATTTGTAATTAGTCTTCAAAATTATTCATCGCATGCTTTACATTCATTATAATTAATTCAATTTTCGTTTGTGGCAGTTTCTTTAATTGAAACATAACTTTAATTACTCTGCAACTTTTAATTGACTCATTATTTTTTTAAATCAAAAGCACCGTCAGGAATAGATATAATTGGACATTGTTATTGTGATGATGATGTATTTTTTGCGAAAAAATTTAAAAATAATAATAAGGAGCCCTAGCAAATATGATAATCATAAGATATCATAAAATTTTCTATTTTCTCCTGATAATTTCCGATCATAGGAAGTCGTGAGAGGTTATGCATTCTTCAAACATTCCATCACTTGAACGAACAATATTATTTTTCTTTCGAAAATGTTCCGATTTAGAAGCATATTTAGATTCAATAAAAATTTTTCGTTAATTTCAAAATATAGTCCATGAACAAATCGGAAATATTTCATCCGAAAAAACATTCAGTCCAATGCAACTTTGGATCCATTTCTTCTGATACGTCGAATATTACCTGATGGAAAAATCCTAACACGAAAAAACAGAAAAATAAGACTATACAAATATCCCGGGTGCCAAATTTGCGATAATAATTCAAAAACTCGGAGAGCCAGTTGTTCCTCCACTTCTTTGTCCTCGATCTTTGAATGGTTCTGCGACTTAGTTTGTACCCATTCACTGACCGTGCAAGCATACCGTGCCGTACCGCGGGTACTGAGATGGTGCCGTTAGTTCCTATTTATGTCGCCGGTTTGTTTGGGTTAGTAGTGACAGTTCCTGCAGAGTACTATGCTACTAAGTACGATCACATCGATATCGAGATGATCCTGAACAACCGCAGGATGGTCAACTACTATACAGCGTGCATGCTGAATAAAGGACCTTGTCCACCAGAAGGGTTGGAATTTAAGAGTGAGTATCAAATCTGGAAAATTGTGTCTTGGAAAGATTTTTCCCAATTTGAAAGTTCATACGAAAATTAATTTTTTTTTGCAATTGTAGATATTTGTATGATGAAAACGAATGTTTTTTCGAAAAACATTTTATAGGAAAAAGTTGTTTATTCTGACGAGATCCACCACATACTTGGTTTCTGTAATGTTCTCAGCAACTTCACGTATCGCCCTAGGAGATGAATAATATGCATCGATATGGAAAATTGTAAATAAGTGAATCTCTTTTTCTTGGAAAAGGTGTATGAATTTGTTTTTTATGAAAAGTACCAAAATTTCACTGTCAAAAATGTTAGGGAAATTTGAAATGAATATTGATAGCGTATGCAGTGCCCTCTAGATGTTAGATGGAAATAGATACGAAATTATGATTTCCCACGTCAAAAAAAACTAGGGTACCAAATTTCGTCCAAATAACTTATTTTTTGCAAAAGTAATTTTTAATAAATGAACAAGGAGAGAAAATCACTTTCTCCAGTGTTGAAAACTACCTCTTTTGTCACATCATGAATTCAAATATTCAGAAAAAATATTTTATGCCTATTTATTGAATTATGGCCGGTCTCAATATTTCATATTCCACAGATATTTTTTCTACCACGTACAAGCACTCGTTGCTTCCATCGATTTCTCCATATTCATCAACAATCTTGATCATAATACATGATCATCGTAAAATCAATGTTATTATTAACGTTAAAAGATGACTGAAACTAGTTCATGTCAATTAACAAACAACGCGCGTCAAAAAACAGTGGTTTTGTTTTATCTCAAAATGAGGACGAAGCTAATGTAGCAATTTGATGAAAATTCGAAAGAATCATCATCGAATACCAAAATTATCAACTAAGACATTAGTGTCATTATTTTTCGGGTTCGAAGGCCGTGGATTTTTGAAATTTCTTCCTGACATTTCGCTAGCGCGAGTGGCTAGCTTCTCCAGAGGTTTGTACATTCTGGATTAGTGTCTGATGACTGAAAATAACGGTTTCGTAACGCATATTTATGCTATGACATGCTAAATTTTGGATTGTCATCTTATGGCAAGGGGCAAAATTTATATTGAAATTAAGCACGTACACAAAAAAAGAAATTATTGGCGATTGTCAATTCTCTCATTAGTTTCACTTTCAATGAATATTCACAAATTCGGGTCATCTACTGACATTCATGCATTAATGAATACGTGATCCGGTGCTTCCGGTCAGACATTTGTATTCAGTTACGTCATCGAAAATTCTGGGTAATTAAAAGTCTGAATCATTTTATTTATGTCCGTGTCTAGAAGACATCAATATCCAATGAAATATTGAAGAATATTTTTCTGTAAAAAATGTTATTGGATGTTTGGAAAATGAGAATCAAACTCCTTTAATATTTTGAAAATATGTGTGGCTTTTTGTCAACCTCCAAAGCTACCAAGCTACCATACGAGTAAAATTTTTTTAGTTGAAACGCTAGTATACAGTTTTTATATTGTGAGTTGACGGAGTATAATGTTTGGTTACGCAAAATCTGAATCATTAAACTAATTATATGTTTATAATATGTCGCGTCATTTCACAGTTCTGGTGTAGATAAATATAATATTGAATATTACTGGAGTTCAATTCCAACACCAAACCGTTATTTTTAAGACCTCGACACGTGTTTCAATCACCAAGTGATCATCTTCAAGAGGAAAAAAAAAACTAAATTAGATACAGTATTGTTCTCATTTATACCATAGATATATCTCTACTAGGTACCTGCATCTTGATTGTCTTGAATTAATTTTACATGTTTCCCTACCTACCAGTCTTAAATGAATTTTACAATATTGCCTTATCCAACAGAGAGGTAAATCTGATTATAAAGTATTATTTCAACAAGCTATATAGTGTACTATTAGGTATTGTTCTACTGTCAATATTCATAAAATGTTTACTTATTTCTACACTCTCATAGGCATCTAGATGCCTCTTGTTTTAACTTGTCTAACTAATCTTAATGAACTGATGTCTATGAAATGGTTTTTATGCAAAATATGATTGGCGATTGCTGATTTTTCTTATCTTCCATATTTCAGGTGTCCTAAGTGTTCTCTATATATTTTTTCATAGATCTTTTAGTCTGAACAGAATATTTTGCATCGCAGTTCTTACATTCAATTTCATAAATTCCAGACTTTTTCGAATGCTCTACTTTGTCCTTTGGATTTCCTAGAAGGCTCTGTAGTGGACGGCTTTTAAATACCACATTCATACCTAATTCCTTGAAAATATTTCTGAAGTTCTTCGTATATTGATGGTACAGAACTGAGATATATTTGTCTTGGTTTTCGTATTTTCTTGAAGTCGAAATTTCGTTCAATCCTAACCTAAACTTTTTCTTCCTTATAATAATATCATCTACAATACCCCTCAAGAAACCTCTGTATTTTTCGTTTTTCTTTCGGGAACCTCTCATGTGTTAGAGGAAATGTCGAAAGATGATGTACTAGAAATTTCTGTGCTTGTTTCCTTCCCAAATACATCGTAGTGTAGCCTTTCACTTCGGCTCCTCATTACCAAAAATTTTAGTAATGAGTTTTGGTCAACAAATGGAAGTTGTCTCTTATTTTCTAACTCATAAGTGAATTTTATTGATAGAAATCTGTTATTCAAAAAGGAAACAAAGTCCTCAATATTCAATTTTTTGTTATCGAATATCCCAAAAAAGACATCCACGTACGTCAGTCGTATGTGAATACTCTGGGAATACTCTGATTTTGGTTTCCATTTCGAATGTGCTCATGAAGAGGTTTGCCAGCTAGGGGGACAAAGGGTTACCCATAGCTGTTCCGTACTGTTGTTCATAAAAGCAACCTTCTACCTGAAAACGGTTTGATTTCATACAAAAAATGAGTGAGAAAGAAATTTATTAGTTTCGTTACTATAGAAATGTTTTTCTCTAGTAATTCCCTCATATATTGTGAGGTCTCTTTAATTGGGACGCTAGGAAATAAAGAACTAACATCAAAGGAAATCAAAATGTTACGTTCTTGCAGAACGATGTTTTTTGTATATCGTATGAACTTTAAGGAGTTTTTATTACTAAAAACCTTGTTTCGCAATAGGCAAGATTTCAAATCTACTAGTGAGCCGCTTTGCTATTTGGTACGTTGGAGATCCAATATCTGACACGATGGGATGCATTGATTTTCTCGGTTTGTGATTTGCCGTCCGTTGGGTCGGCAGTGCATCACAAGGTCTGGTGTGTGTAAACATATTGTCTTCATTCATTTTAGGCCTGATTTTTTTACTGACAAGAAGTATATGGTAACTTTTTGAAATTTCAGGAAATGTAATGGACAAATGTAACAGAATAAATATATTTAGTCTAATTTGTTAACCTGCAGAATCAAGTGTTTAGAAAATTCATTTTCTATACCAATTGATAGGCTTTCTTATTAGTCAGTGGGATATGCTTGGAAGACTGGCAGTAAACAAATCTAAAGAAATGAACTTTAAACGTTCAAGCCACTCTCGAATATACCTACACAGTATGTTGAATGGACTCACGCCTATCAGAAATCATCTACTCCCCTGGCTAATACCACGAAGAACATTGGATTATATCCGACAGACGTCAGTGCATGAATCTTCACAGAAAATTTCCTGCAGATGCAATTGGCAATACAACTGATGGCCACTATCTTGCACTGATGAGTGTCTAATGAGCCCGAAACCGATCTGCAAGTGTGCCCATTCCAAAATTGAAGGTCGACTCTTTCAGTTGTATTGACCAATTGCATATGCAGGAAATTTTCTGTGAAGACGCCTGTCGGATATAATCCAATGTCCTTCGTGGTATTAGCCAGGGGAGTAGTTGTTTTCTGATAGGCGTCAGTCCATTCAACCTATTGTGTAGGTATATTTGAGAACGGCTTGAACGTTTAAAGTTCATTTCTTTAGATCAATTGATATATTCTAACAATTATCAGTATTATGGTAAAGAAATGAAGAGTATGTTAGTCTTCAAAAGATCTTGAATATACCTACACAGTATGTTGAATGGACTCACGCCTATCAGAAAACAACTACTCCCCTGGCTAATACCACGAAGATCATTGGATTATATCCGACAGTGCATGAATCTTTACCGAAAATTTCCTGCATATGCAATTGGCAATACAACTGATGGCCACTATCTTGCACTGATGAGTGGCTAATGAGCCCGAAACCGATCTGCAAGTGTGCCCATTCCAAAATTGAAGGTCGACTCTTTCAGTTGTATTGCCAATTGCATATTCAGGAAATTTTCTGTGAAGATTCCTGCGCTGACGCCTATCGGATATAATCCAATGTCCTTCGTGGTATTAGCCAGGGGAGTAGTTGTTTTCTGATAGGCGTCAGTCCATTCAACCTACTGTGTAGGTATATTTGAGAATGGCTTGAACGTTTAAAGTTCATTTCTTTAGATCAATTGATATGTTCTAGCAATTATCAGTATTGTGGTAAAGAAATGAAGAATATGTTAGTCTTCAAAAGATGAGACGTAACATGCTCAGAATACTGCTTTCTTATCAACATTTAATTTCCAGGCATTATTAATCAATAAAAATTACATACAAATTGACTGTCTTTTAAGTCTATTATAACAAAGTTTCAAGTTCGCATCCCTTTTTTCATATTAGGAATGAAGATGACCATGAAAAATGAGAATTGAAACTTCCTATGTTTTCATACCATCTTTATTGGTAACTAAAGTTACTACAGTTTCGTCCTACAATTACATTTTCAAACAAATACCTTTGTAGGAAGAAACTGCAGTAACGTTAGTTACAAATAACAGTGGTATAAAAACAAAGGAAATGTCAATTCTCATTTTTCATGATGATTTCCTACCACGTAGGAAACCATCAACCTAATGAAGGTGACTTTCGTTTTATTGGGTATGAAGTAAAAGTTGAACCCATCAGTACCGAACAGATTGATT